ACCGAATCAGGGCAAACTTTGCGCGCAAAATCAAAAATCCATCTGTTAGAGTACTCCTTGTCCTCATTGACCGACGATGCGCGTTACGCATTCTCCTGCCGAAAATTCAGAGCGTTTTCATTGAAGTTTCTCGGTTAACGCGACGACGACAGTAGCCGCGTTTTTTGGCCTTGATCAAACTCTTAAATTTTTCCTCCAGTGCCGTGTACCGCTCAAAGTATTCGTAGGAACCGTGCTTACGAAGTTGTTTCAACGCAGCTGACTTCTCATTATTCGCGTTGGTGCATTCCTTGTCCTACCACACAGTGGGAGGACATTTACGAATGGAAGCACCAGGAACTGGCTTCGTTTGAGCTTGAAGCGCGCAATCCACGATGAGGCAAGATAAGAAGGAGTACTCATCCAGAGGAGAGAATACGTCGACCGATTCTGAGCCGCCACGGACCACGTTCACGTATTTTTCCCAATCGATGTTTCTCGTGAGATCGTATGCGATGTTGTTGGATGTTGCGAAGATGAGCCATTAGAGATCGAGATTTTGATGGGCAAATGATCACTACCATAGGGGTCTTGGATTACCTCCTACATGCAATCCAATGATAGTGAGTTCGAACAAAGTGACAAATCCAATCTGCTCACTTTTGCTGGAGGTTTGGCTATTCGTGTTACGTCTCCGGTGTTTAAAATAGTCATGTTAAAATTGTCGCGAAGGTCATAAATGATGGTTGAGCGATTGACAGCGTACAGCTCTCCCCAGCCTGTACCGTGGGAATTAAAATCCCCTAAGATCAAACGCGGCTCAGGTAACACTGAGCAAATGTCCGATAAAGCTCGATGAGAAACAGCCGTTCTCGGAGGTATGTATAGCGAGGCAATACTGAGGCTTTTACCTCAAATATTCACCTGACATGCGACAATTTCAACAGCCGAAATTGCAGGAAGGACAATTCTGTAAAAAGAGTGACGTTTGTCGATCCCCAAGAGCACACCCCCATAGGAGTCTACACGATCGAGACGGACAATGTTAAAACTGTGAAGAGAAAGATCGATGTCTGGAGAAAGCCATGTTTTGCACGGAGCAAAAGCATCACAATTCAGGTTGCTTAGCAAGAATTTGAACACGTCTAGCTTCGGAAAAATCCTTCTACAATTCCATTGTAAGAGAGATACCGTATCGTTTTTTGGAAAATTATCCATCGAAGGATACGATCGAAGCAAGGAGGGGCCACTTGGAAGCTAGTTGCTTCAGAAGAGGTATCACGATTGGGAGCATCATATCAATGATGTTCCTTAGAGGGCCAGAGATTTTAAGCAAATCGAGAATGCTGTCCACTATTCCAAAAAACGTGAACATGGCGTTACGCTGTTCTGGCTGTGAAACTGGGATATCCCGGATGTTCCCGGAAGCTGCGGAAATGCTTTGTCGTAATCGACAGGCTTGCAACCCGGTGGAACGGGTTTCGGGACATTTCCACGGCCTCTTGATTTATCCAAGGGGGCTTGGGAGTCAGTACTAGTGGTGTTTTTAATTTTCTGCAAACCATTCCTGGCTCGCTTTCTAGAAGGACCTTGGAAAACAAAATGACTTCCATCATTGCCTCCAGCATCAGCGTCGTCCTCATCAACTGGGAGAAGATTGAAAGGATTATTGTCGTTTTTTTCCGGAGTGGTTCTGGGAAGCGGATTAAAAGCCTCCAAGATCTCTGCAAAGGAACGCTGAGAGCGTGCCTTCAGGGACCGTTTAAGTTGTTCCTCCTGTTGCTTGTACTTAGGGCAATCTGCGAGAGGATGCGGAGATGCCAAACAATAAACACATTTGGGAGGAGTACTACAAGCACCCTCCACATGCTTCTCGCCGCACAGATCGCAGCGTGGCTTGTTGCCGCAGAAGGCAGCGGTGTGGCGTAATTGTTTACACTTTGTGCAGTTCATCACCCTCGATACAAACAACCGCCCAGGAAGTCGAACCCTTCCAATCCTGACGTAATCTGGCAGTGCAGATCCGGAGAATGTCACCCGAAACGAGTCTGATAGCAAGTAGGTTTTTTTTCGTCCCATCCAGGGACGCTGACTGCATTTGAATGCAGTCGAAAATTTTTACTTCAGGGAGGGTGGGGTTCTTGAAGACACCAACCACCCTCTTCAGGAAGTCTTCGCTGGTCATACTCGACTCGGTGCCCACTCCATCTATTTCCACGTCGTGACATGGGATATAAACACGATACTCTAACGTAAAGAGCTCGCAGGCAACAATCTCGTTTGCCTGCTTGCGACAAGCAACAGTGACGCGCAGTTTGTCTGGCCGCACCTTCAAAACGTCGGTCACGGACGAGAAACGATTGAAAATATTCTTTTCGATCCGGTTAACATTTAGAGCTTTTTGCTTGGGCCGGAAGAAAACAACCCATAGACCTTTCGAGGCGTCTGGGTATGCCTTGTGGCGGGGGACAGCTTGCGTTAGTTTAACAGGGATAGGCGATGTTGGCGGAGAAGACTTAGTCGGTGTTGGGGGTGACGGGTTAGGTGGGGTAGAGGGAGACGGTATGGGTTGTGAGAGGGGAGAAGGTGGGGACGGTGAAGGCTTAACCTTTTTTGATGGTTCCGGTATTCTTTTTTGTCATACGGGATTTCATTTCCACATCGGACTGCTCATCGTCAGTGGGAACGGCAGAAAGGGAAGCCCCCTCGCCATCATTACTCCTATCCATTGCGTTGCAACTACCACCGCAATGGATTTACAAAAAAAACTACACACACGAGGAAACACAGAACACACAGGGAAGGAGAAATCGAAACAAAAAAAAAAAACGGGGAAAAGGAAGAAAGATAGAACGAGAACAAAGGGCAATACAATATATTTGCTACTTATCTAACTACACCGGTACAACGTTATGATGTTGAAGACGATCTATGCTGCTATCCGGTGGTGCAGATCGTTGTTGACAGTTCGGTTTGGCACGATTGGAAAAAAATGCTACCGTCAGGGACGGCTGGGGAAGCTTGCTTCCACGAAGAGCGTTGCTGGCTGCTTGTGGTATTATCAACTAGCACTATCACTTGCACACTTGCGCGATGGCGTGAAAAACCCGAAACGGGAAAAAAAAACACAGCTCAAAAACGACGGAGAGAAAACAATGCACGTCCGGCACGGTCAACGCTCGTCGATGATCTAGATAAAATTGATAAATGGCAGATTTTTAGTGATGGGCATAATCATAGATCCATAGGCCAACATTTGAGCCATTTCCTCTATTTTTTATTCCGCCATTCCCCTAATGGACCATGTCCGTGTTTGGGTGGTCCGAATGATCTTTTTTTTTTTCAAAAATGCCTGTTTTCTAAAATTTATAACTTCTGAGCCTCTCGACCGATTTTTACGGTTGACCATTCAAATGAAAAATGACTTAAGTTTATTTTAAAGAGATATTTGATTTTGTACAAAAATACGCTACAAATGCTTTTTCTAGATTTTTACTGCGAGGTTCTTCAACAACTTCTTATTGTAGTATTTTTAATTGAGGATCATTTAATTTTACATTTCATATTAAAAATAGCGATGTTGGCGAAATCGTTTTGGAGATACACGGTATTCATTTTCAACGGAAGAAAAATGTGTAAAAATTATAATTGAGACAATTTTGAAAAAAAATTGATTTTTTTTTAACACGGAAATCCTAAAAAAATACAAGTTTAATATTTTTTGAAAAGGAAGAACTATATCAATTTTCATGAAATTCTGAAACTCACTATAACTGTTTTCTATTGCATTGCTGTATATGAAGTACTCATAATTTTAAAGCACTTGATTGTACTCATCAATAAGGGCCTAGACATTGTTTTAAATGCGCGTTTAAGATCAAAAAAAAAAACAGCAACAGTCGTATCTTTACGCTCCAAGTTGTCTTTCCATTTCGCTAACATTAAATTCAACGAAGCATATTCTCGATATCCTGATTGTTCTGGTATAAACAAACTATTACTATTTAAATACTCCAACAGCTGGTCTTTAACAACAAGTTCTAAAATTTTCTCCAATGTTTGCAACATGTTGATGGGACGAAACTCTTCGGTTTTAATCGTTCCAGCAACTTTTTGAATAGGAACCACTAAGTATTTTTTCCAAATTTGTGGCATTCGACCAGCCTGCAATAATTCATGAATAAGGTCTAGCAAGATGTGGCCAATGACATGAAAGCAATCTTGAATAACTCTAGCATTAACATAATCTACTCCAGCCGATTTTCCTAATGAAAATCAAATAACTCTAAGTTCATCTAATGTAATGGGTGAAAGCCTTGAAATCTTCAACTACTATTGACTGGCTGCTTTATTTTGTCAGGTTCATCGAATTCATAGATTGATGGAACACTTTCGACAAAATAATCATAAAATTTAGATGCAAGCAATTTAAGTTCTGAATGTTCTACTGTGCCATTAACAGTTATGGACCGCAGTTTGCAATTACTAAGAAGCGCGATTGTGTACCTATTCCAATGATTATCACTATTTGATCTACAAAACTTTTTGTACCATTTGCTCCTCTTACTTTAAAGACGCAAAAGATCCAAATTGTACCAGCTCTACGAGTTTTTCAAAGAAACAAACTTTTGCTCAACTAATTGATTGGTACACGTTTTCAAAGTGTTAGTCAGTACAGCTATAGATTCATCTAAATTACCGACCGTGAATGGGAAATCCACGCACAACAAGATTCGAAACAGACTGTTTCGAATATTTCCTCCAGCACTTCAAACTACTAAGTCATCGTTATTATTGATAGAGACTACAAATTTCGTAGATTTTGAAATTTGTCTAAGTGTGAGAAATTAAAAAAAAAACTAATGTTGTAAATTTTAACGAGTTCAAAACTAGTTTTATAAAATTCTATCCAAAATTATAATCCATCTTCTTCCTTTTATCATTTTTTTATCATTGCTTGTCATATATTTCTACCTACTCTGGATACCCCCATAAATATAGCTGTCAAGAAACATGCTTACCGATACGCCAAGAAATTGCGTCGAGTTCATAGCAGCATATATAGTGTTTGCAATTTCTTTATCAGTGTAGGTAAAATCTTTTAAGTTCTTTCCCTTGAGTTTACGCATTGTCTTGTTGAATGCTAAGGCCACACTCCACACAGCATCGTACGCCAGTGGTGCTTCTTGGTATCCTTCGGGGTAGCGATTATGATTGATATCATAACCTTCTTCAATTAGCGCATCGTTCAAGCGTTTTCTGAAAGACATACAAAAAAGGGGAAACAATTAAATAATTTGCTATTTAAGGTTATAGATTATGCGATTGCTAAAATCTGGTTAACATGAGTAGTTATAATCATGCCATCGATGACCGTAAAGTTCGTAGTTGCTACTTCACGACTGACCAGATATGGACACACAGTCAATACATTTCATTTACACGATTGTTAAAAATAAATAAAAATAAATAAATATTGATCAAATTGCACTATTATTAATATTTTTTTTAAATAAATTTCGCTTGGGGGAAAGGCGAAGGAGGAAAACCATCATCACGCAGCTCAAGACAGAGCAGCACGAAACTATTGCCGAGCCACAAGCGATCGAAACCCACATGGTCAATTACTTCAAGACCCTCTACTCGGAAGAAATAAGAGAGAATTTCGAAAACAACTTTGTTTGCGAGAGAGTCGTTCCACCCTACGACCCACTGAATGAAGCCTGTTTAAGCGAAGTCTCCACGAAAGAAATTTTACATGCAATCAGGGCAAGCACACTGACGATAGTATCTCGAGGGAGTTTTACCACCGTATATTAAATGTAATCCACCAAGAGCTTAATCTGCTGCTAAATGGAGCACTTACCCGCTGCATTTGTGGATGACATCAGCGTGCTGGAAAAGAAAAAAGATAGGGACAACACGGTTTCGCTTCTCAACAGTGACTACAAGCAAAGATGAATTCTAAGATGAAACTGTCGGAAGAAAAACTTTCTATTTTAGTGTCCTCTTTCACGGTCCCTTTCATCCAATGAATACCCCCCGTATTCAAGGTAATTTTGTGGTTTTGCTGCCCCCTCGGTAGAGATGAAATTTTGCGCTCTTTTTTATCAAAACAAACACACCAAAATCAGAGTTGTCCCATTTTTGAATTACTCGATTAACAACTAATCGATTTTTTTTGTTCGCTGTGCTGCCATTTATTCACCAATGAGAGTGCAGCACATGTTTGAAACAATCGATGATGATCCTCTGCACGGTAAGCTGCTCACCCGTTGTGAGATTGACGCCGGCGCAAAATTAAGTTTGTGGACAACTGTTGCCATCTACGTATGTTTTTGCGAAACAACAGCCAATGTTGTCAAAATCTTGGGCAAGGTGACTACAAGCTCTTCTCTCGCATCCTCAAAACCATATTGGAGCGAGTGATGAGAGCCCACAATGTTTTGAGCAACAGACAGAAATTTTTGAACTCAGAGCGAAACATCTTCGAAGCCATTCTCGCCCTCAAAGATCGCATAGCCAGCCTCCGTCATCATTGTCATTCGATAACATGTGCTCGCTCAGATTCAATCAAGAACTCATCGCTCTACTCTCGCGTATTGCTGGCCGATCTACATCTCGTCTCATTCGCTCGAGATCCAACGCGCTGTACCTTCATTATCTTGTGTGCAGACTCGAACAAGCGTTTGGAAACGATCTGGTAGTAGCGTATGCGGATGACATCAGCGTAATCGTCTCATCGGCTGGGTAAATCGAAGCTGCTCACCCGTTGTGAGATTGACGCCGGCGCAAAATTAAGTTTGTGGACTACTGTTGCCATCAACGTATGTTTTTGTGAAGACAACAGCCAATGTTGTCAAAATCTTGGGCAAGGTGACTACATATAGAACTCAACGGCACTGCATGGACCACCGAATGTTTGGAGAAGGGCATCGAGTTCCAGTTTATTCCACCTCGTGCGCCGCATTTCGGCGGCCTATGAGAGGCTGCAGTAAAGGCCTTCAAGTGGTATTTCTTGAAGATCATCGGAGCAGCTCCACTCCACTACGACAATATGCGCATAGCGGTTTCCTAGACTGAATGTATACCGAACTCCAGACCATTGACGCCTCTTTCCAACGACCCGCATGATCTCTCTGTCCTGACACCCGGTCATTTCTTGCTTGGAGAGTCTCCCTTTAATTTACCGGAGGCAGACCTCTCTCAGGTGCCGACTAATCACCTCAACCATTTCCAGGCCACACTACGCTCCGTCCAAAATCTCTGGAAACGACCAGCTAAGTGGAGGAAGTCCCCTATCGAGTTTCACGTCGGGACCATGGTCTTGCTGAAGAAGGATAACGTCCCTTCGATGCAATGGCCCCTTGGCAAAGTTGTGGCGATCTATCTCATAAGTGACAACATCGTGCGCGTAGCGGATGTGCACACGCAACTAGGTATTCGACGCCGTGCAACATCTGAACTATGCGTCCTCCCCATCGATGATCAGAATCCAACGAAGGCACACGATTGCAAAACCGTCACCAGCAACTCTTCTTAAATGCTGCGCTTCAAGAAGAGTTTGTGGTCGCCCGGTGATGTTGCGGCCCATAACATATAGTACAAACATCAAAGCACTACATAAAGTACGAGTAAATTATACATACAAAATGAATTATAAATTAACTTAAAAAACCCACCACCCACACCGCTTCTACACTTCTACATCTATATACATCCCAAATGGATTACCTTCCACCTCACACTGAACACGACAAATAAATCAGTTTACCTAAGAACAACAATGCAAGGCAGACCAGTTTCTTTAATCTCGTCCGAAAACTATACTCGGTTCACGCCAGTCCACCCAGTGATTGAAACCACAAGTTCGCTGTCGTTTTCTAGTTCGCCTTTGTCGTCGTGTGGGCCAGATTCCGGCAGTTTTGCAAGAACACTTTTATTATGCGGTTTTCCATGAAAAACGTGCCATATTTTATTAAGATAAAGAAATAGATCTAGTACTTCAGTGAAGTTTTTTGTTTTGATAGTTTCTAAAACTTTGCTCAAGACACCGATCCTGAATATTACATTATTGAAAAAAGAAATATCTTGTATTATTCATTGATCTGCCATTGTCAAAATGAGGGGCTTTTCATATCCAGAAGATTCACAAGATAATGACTATTGGTCGTCTTTTCACAGGTCTGGACCACTGTGTTTCGGTTTGGCTGAATGAGTCCTTATCTGCCAGAAATCTACGTTAACAGTCATTGTTTGCTTTTGGCATATGTGGTCTAGATTTTATTATTGCAGAATGATAGGATTGGAGGTGGTTTTAAGTTCGGTGTATGCTGTTTATAGCAGATGTAAGTTACTTACCGAAAGTCTTCGGATGACATTCCTGAGATGGTTTTCTGATTGTTTTGATTCCACATGAGTGCCTCTGTTGTCAGATGACCCTGGGCTGCCATCCTCATCTGTTCTTTGGTACAAGAGATGTTTTCGTTCCTGAGATTTACTTCGTACCAGTTATCTTCGTACCATCCTAGAAGAACAAAAAGTATGATTTACAAAGTTAAAATTGCTACCATTCCATCAATTTCCCACGAATGTGTTCTACTTTCATGCGTGTTATGGTTGAGTATATTTTTTTGTTTAAAATATTTAAGAATGTAGTGGTCCAGGATTTAAGATTTTTCGCTTGCTCTCATCTTAGTGTTCTATTGTGCACTTCCACAGTTATTCATTAAGAGATTTATATGTCAACATACATGAAATTGTACATTTTGTGACAAGCACAATAATATTCTAAGGAAGTCGAGCTTTCTTAGACCGGACGAAAAATGGTACCTTACTATACTTCCGATCATTGAGGGTATGCCACTTCCAATAATATAGTATAAAAAATAGTTTACGTAGTTGGAGATGCTTAACGATAAAAAATAGAGCAATCGATAATTAATCAAGTCATTATTTCATGCTTCGTTTCCAATAACAATATCGCCGAAACTTTTCAAACAATGTTGATAATCTCCGCTCTTGTTCTTTTGCACTAAATCTAACTTCCAACAGTTCTTTATTCTGGAGGCAGTTAAACCATGCAACCGGGTGATGATGCGGTATGAACACCACCGTGAGTAAGGATGAACATACAATTTTGTTTTGAAGCTCAACAGAGCTAGCGACAAACAAGGGCTGACAAAAATACAGCTTCAGGCTCCGGAGTAACAGTTTTATTTGACTAAGGAGAGAGAGAGCAGCACACGTCTTTGTATAATGCTTGGGGTGTAGGTTAAACGTCAACGATCGCAATTAAATATTAACGTTTGGTCAGGAGGCGTTGAATTATTTTTAATTTTAAATCACATTTTCACATAGCATCCAACACAGAAGTGAATCTCCGGTAAACATTAACATATTAGAACCAGTGTGATCAGACGCTTTTAAGCATTAACTTTCTTAGATAACAGCAAGAAATGAAAGATACTTGAATCCAGTTCATTTATGGTAATTTTTCAGAAGATTTGTTTTAAATATTTTTGTGAGAGAATCGAAAGCTAGTATTATTTAAATCATAAGAATATTTACCCAGGAGTATCGAACTTACAGAGATACCTTGCCACAATTTGCCTTTGAATGGAATGTGCGGGACCAACTATGTAATGAATGCCCAAAATGCCAGGTGCCCAGTGATGTGGCGGTGTGGCATCTACTAGCAAAAATCGTGTCAACTTCCGAGCATTGCATCACACAACTTCTACATGATGTTCTTTATACGTTAACTACTATAACTTTAACTTAATCCTAAATATACAAAACGATATTAATATTAATACCAGATTCAAACATAGTCTAAATGCATGAAGCAAAAACTATCAGGAAGGTAAAAGTGCATTATAAAAAAGATTTTTAAGCCTAGGACGGGATTCACTAAAATCAAAACAGCTGTAGCATTTGTTGAAAATTTTGTCCATAATAGTTAACGGCTCATTAGCACCGTAGTTTTTGTGTGAATCCGGGATGAAAAAATAACAAGAGAATAACATAATATAATAATAAATTGTACAAGTGAGCCTCACTCAATGTCCGATCGAAGGAAATCAGCGTTGAAAACAGCCTTAGAGACGCCACGGCGAAAGCTTAGTAATTGTAGGGTCATCAAATTACAGTTACCGTAAAACGGGATATCTTTGACAATGCGGGTAACTTTGATAGTATAATGTAAAGATTAAATTTACTTGTTGCGTTTTTTTCCAAATTAGAAACATTGGTTCCATATAGTAGCTTAGGGTATTTCCGTTGATATTGTATGTAGTTTTTATATAGTATGTGTTGCATATTTTACAAACATATTAAAAAAAATCGTGTTTTTCGTCTGTTTGAAAAAGCACTCAAACCATCACTTATGAAATGTATTTCCGATATAGCCATCACCAATTCAATGTGGTATTCTTATTGCTTATGATATTTTCTGATTATATACTCATTCAAAGTTTCATATTCAAAGAACTAAATTGTTTGAGTTTCAACCATATATTTCTACATTCATCGAGCATTATCAAAGTAACCCCAAATCAAAAACTCAAGTTCGGTCACACAACTAAAAAAATGGTACAAATGCTTTAATTTAATTTAAACATATTACTGACGAACTGACTCTTGGATCCTCAGTACTTGTTTTAAAAATATAAAATTTGAAAAACATTCATTGCTGTAAAACATATTTAGAATATACTTTAAAAAACTATCGATGTTACCCCGTTTTACGGTACTTAAATAACTAGGAAGGTTGAAAGGATCACTCCAGGGTATCCAATGATCAGTCCGCATCGTGCTCTCTTGCCGTGCGGATCTATTTGCTTTTTGCTGAAGGAAGTGTTACTACTACCTAAACTACAACAAATTTAAACAGCACTTTTCAGTGCTCAACCTGTAAAATTTCTACCTTGTTCAACTCTTACTCCTCTTCGATCCTTGTTTGGACCCTACCCGAGGTAATCCTTCTTGGATATCGATTTGGAAAATTTCTCTTCGATCCTTCAGATTCTTATAGTAATCTGCTTGGAAGCCGATTTGGATAAAAATTTACTGCCGCCATGGCGCTTAAGCGCAAAAGAAAACTGTTGTTCCCCCTTCAATCAATTTGATTTGCTCACGGATAATGAGAATGATCCATCATCCAAGAAAAGTAAATAGTAAACTTTCCTGGCTTAATTCCCCCTACTGTGATAACCACTTCCGATTTCCATACTCTTTGCATGGAACTTTTGAACTTCGTGAAAGTTAAGTTTTCACTACAAATTGGACATCGGGGTAAATGCCGTGTATTGACTGAAACCTTGGACGGATGTAAATGTCTTCTCAAGTATCTTACTGAGAAGCAGCTCAAGTTGTTTACTTATCTGCTTCTAATTTTTCATCTATACCCACCCCCCTCGCTGCTTACAATATTCAGCGAGTTAATGGAGTTACTGCTGCTTAAAAGGAATTTTTACAGAAATCATTAATTGACATGATTACTGATATGCTTAAATCTAACTGCATGTTTGATGCTATTCAAACTGGAGTAAGATTTGCAAACAAAATTGTCATGACTTTGAAATTCAGTAATTGATTTTAAAGCATATTTTAAATTGGAAGGCTCGATCTCTTAAAGATAATTAAGACGAGCTATTTAACTTTTTGAGAGTTCATAACGTGCATTTTGCCATTATAACTGAAACGTTCCTTAAACCTGATGATAAGGTACGAAGGACGCAAATTATTTCATTTATAGAAATGATCGTCTTGATGGACCCTGTGGTGGCGTTGCCATCATTGTTCATAGACGAATCAAACATAGAATTCTTTCTTCATTTGAAACCAAAGTTTTTGAAACTTTGGGAGTTTTTGTTAAAACAAAATTTGGACAACCTACGTTTATAGCTGCCTTTTTGCCATTCGATTGCGTAGGCCAGCAAAAGAATTTTCTCAAGGGTGACCTTCAGAAACTTACCCGTCATTGGTCTAAATTCTTCATTATTGATGATTTTAATGCAAAACAACGCTCATGGAATAATGCTCAAAGCATGTTTTGCAGGTTATTACACTATTCAATATCCAAACAGCCCAACATGCTTTTCTTCAGCAAGAAATCCCTCAACTATTGATTTGGTCTTAGCTGATTCATGTCAACTCTAACCTGGTGTCCATGTTCGGTTGAACGCTTTGGAGATGTCCAGCGAGACGATCTCCGCGTGATGACTTTGGTCATGTGCCTCCTTCAGGACTTCCCCAAGAGTGGCAAAATAGGTGGAGGTGCCATACCCTTGCCTGAAGACGTGCTGCCGATGGTCAAGCAGCCCCTTGGCCTCAAGATATTGACTATGCATCAGGTCAGTGCAATGGGACGGAACCCACTGATGTCTTTGGTCCCGACATTGGTTTTCGGTAACGGTATAGCAAGGCTTTCTATCCAGTTTTCTGGGTATTCTTCAGCTGTCCACAGTTGGTTGTAAAGGACGAGAAGTTTTGTTTTGCCTTCGGGTGGAAGGTGCTTTAGCATCGGGTAGCCGATATCGTCCGGTCCGGCCGAGTTCCCGTTGCTCCGACTGAGAGCGAACACGAGTTCTTCCCAGGAGAGTGGGCTGTTGATCGGTAGGTCGTCGTTGTCTGGAGGAATTCCGAAGGCAAACACAAAGGACAGTGAGGGGAAATTTTGCTGCGCCGACCGGCAATTTGTTGTGCTGCTGGCGATAGTTCGCGAGGATCTCTTCTCTTGCTAAATTGTTTGGGGAGGTGCGTTTGAGCTTCCGGAGTGCTTTTTGCCTGGCTTTTACTGCCCTTTTGGTTTCGTCGATCCACTAGCGGAGTGCCTTCCGCCCGGGGACACAGCCAGTTTTGGGTATACTGGTGCTAGCGGCTTTATAGATGATTTCCGTGATGCTTGGGATGATTTAGGGTTCCTGGTTCTGCGCGAGGGCTTGGTACGTGTGCTGAAAACCCTCCCAATCAGCTTCCTCGTAGCGCCACCGCGGTCCTCGGGTGTTCTCTGGGGGCGATGCGGCGGATAACCGAATCTGTACCGGATAGTGGTCACTGCCACACAGATCCGGGTTAATCTACCTAGAGCACTTTGCCCGCCAGAGAAAGGCTGGCTGTGGACATGTCAATGGCGGAGGTGTGCCGACCGATGAAAAACGTTGGGCTGCCATCATTTAAAATGACCAGATCTTCCTGCTCGAAAGTATCGCAGAGGGTGACGCCTCTAGGGAATACTCGTGGGCAACCCCAGGCCGGGTGGTGGCCATTCAGGTCCCTATAAAAATCTTGAGTTCCGGTAGCTGATAAAGTATTCTGCGAACCTGGTTGTCCAGGCTGGGCAGCCTTCCACAGGGTAGATAGGCACAGGCGATGGAGATGCTAATTGGATTCTGGATATGAATGCCGAAGATTGGGAGGATGGTATCCAGATCAACGATTCGGTGAGTGATTTCCTTGCGGACTCCTATAGCAACGGATCTCCGGAGGTTGCACCCTTTTTTGGACCTGGAGGGTGGACCAGGT